AATAAATAATGCATTTCCATTCCCCAGAACAGGTTCCAATATCAATATACAAATGATCTTTAAGTACTGTAATGTAGGTCTTTAAAAAACCCTCTGATATGTCTTTAAAAACCCTATACTCCGTTACCCTATTTAAATGAGGTAGAAGCGGCAAGTAAGTTTTAATTTCAGGTTCTGGTAATCTGGCACTTTATTGCTGTATACTAGTGGACTATTGCACTGGTAATTTTAGGTACTGCTGTGTTATTTGTATTTTACTTGGCTTTTATCTGCATTTGGTATTGCTATGCAAAGAAGTGAAATGCTGAAAAGAAACTGTATCCTAAAGAAACAAATTTTAAAACCTTAGATGATTTTAAAGGCTAGGCAAAAAATATTTTCTCTTTCTTCTTTTTTAAAAAAAGTTTTGGAAATTTTCAGATAATTGCACCACTTTTTAGAGTGCTCTTAAAAGTTAACTCAAAAGAGTGTAACATATTCTATTTTCATGTATTCTGTCTTCTCAATTCGTTTTAGTGCGCATGATAATGATGTGAAGGAAGCAAGCAAGCAAAAAGGACAACATGCTCAGTCTGCCCAACATACGGTGTTTCAGTCCCCAGTTCCAACTCCCCAGCAAGCTAATGCTCAACAGCACATACCACAGTATCTCCAAGCTCATCAGTCTTCATTACAGTATCACCATCAGACATCACAGCAGCAAAACTGTCAACAGATGTTATCGTCTAATCATACAGCATCTTACTCACTTCAGACTTGCCCTGCTGCCTTACAGTCTAGCGTTCAGGCTCGAGGCCAGGTACAGACTGGTGCTGCAGTGTCACTAGCTGTTCCGCTAGAAGTGAAGCCATGTATCAGCGTCTCCTACAACCGGAGTTACCAAGTGAATGGACGATATTCCTGCATTACTCCCTGCTTTGAGAGGTGATAAGTACAGAATGGTTTTGTGCTTTTTCGTTTGGGGTGGGAAGTTGTGTTGAGGGGATTGGTTTTGGTTTTTTTGTTAAATCTCAAATTAAGTTTGAGGGCAATAAATTGAATAAAAAAAGTGTCTTTCCAGAAAAAATCAACTGGATTGACAACTAGTACCATAGCTCAAATACAGACTGCAAAAAATAAGCACACAGAACACCCTCTAAAAAGAATGTGTATACCTGCGGGTAATAAGTTCTTACTCTGGCAGTCAGAATACTCTGTTTTTCTAATGTGCATCTTTTGAAATAGTAGTCAAAAATAGCTGTGGAGTGACTACAGACTTACCTTTTAATGAAGGAGATATGCAGTATTATTTTGAAGACATTTATGTAATACCACCATACAGTATTAATGCTTAAATTTATGGAAACAAGAATCCACTGAATGCCAGACTTCTCCAGATGCATGGGGACCACAGGAAGAAACAAATCTCATCTGGCTAACTCCATACTCTTGCCCCTTTTTCAGCACTTGTGTTGGATATTTGCTTTAGGCCAAGGTGTTTGAGTTAACTGGTATTTTGGCTAGTTTTCAACTTTTGTACCTCACAGGATAGACACTATGTTTTTGCTTCTTTTCTCCTCCCTATCCTTTTTATGTTTAAAGTAACTTTCATACTAACTCAGGGAATTTTCTACTCATTACACTGTGCTGCTGGTTTGTACACTTAATTGGGTATAGCTTGAGGGAGAAAGGTGGAGAGGGAAGAGACCGAGAGCAAGTGGAGTGGCTTTTCTTCAGGGCATCTGTATGCAGAGTACCAAAGGGATATGTTAGTGTTCACAGAACGTAGATGTGAACTACTACCCAGCAGTGTGGTATTGAGTAATTGAAGAAAACAAAGTTTCAGCTGATCTTGTACTGTACCAGAACTACTACAGTGGCTGTGATTCCTCTGTGTGTACACACACAAACACAGATGTATTATTAACCAACAGAAAGCATCCTCCAGTTGTACTGACAGTATCACTCATACAAAAAAGTACAGTTAAATGCTTATAGAAACCTAGTTCTGTCAGGCTTATAGTGGAGGGAAATTCTCAGGTAATAGTGGGGCAACTTTTTCTTCTACTATTTGGGATGTCTAGAAGAAAATGCAGAGATTTACTCTTTTAAATGGGTGGATCAAAAATATATTGCAGAGTGAACTGCTTTATCACAATTAAGGTGCTAATTACATAGCTATGGAATTACACTCTCTCCTGTGGAGTGGATAGTCTGAGGGTAGAAAGGTTCACTCATCCAACTCTTGGACAAAAATGGTGGTAGAGATAGTAATGGAGGATTTATTTTGTTTTAAATACAAGAAGATAACTGACTTTCTCCTGTGGTAGAATATGGGAGGAAGTAGTATGGATGGCAGGATTCTTACTACTTTAGAATATCTTTATTTTCTAGGGGCTCAAGGCTTTTTTTGGTTTATTTGTTCTTTTACCACCTTCTCTGCTGTCTTAGTGGCAGCACTTAAAATTGTGTACCATCTAATGATGCTGGAGTATCATGAATCTTACAGAGAATGTTTTGAAAGCAGGGACAATTAAGATACAGTAACAAGATGAAGGCTTTATCATAGGAGATAGGGCCTTACTGTAATGTTCAGAAGGAAGGAGAGCTGTGTTCATTCTTTCTGGGGCTGAATGACATGCTACAAAAACCTGTTTATTGGTGAGGAGAAGAAATCCTGTTTTTCTTGTGTTTTTTGCATGAATCTCAATTTTTGTTGTGGGTTTTTGTAGCATATATGTGCAAGTCAAGAGGGATAGGAGGATAAATGAAAGAGATGACCCTCTCTGCTTTATGCTAGAGAATCAACTTTGAAATAGTCATAGTGTGGGTAATTCTTAATTGAAGTGCAAATTGGTTTGGTTTTTGGTTGTTTTTTTCTCTCTTCTCTTCATCTCTTAATGAATATTTCCCCATGTCTAAGAGTAGTGTTAAGTAGAAACTTTCCACCTCCTAAGATGCCATGTGTTTTATTCAGCATTGTTACCCATTTAAGAGGGAAACGGACTTCTTTCTGCCGGTTTTATATTTTTTTGCAATGCTATATCCAAGTCCTTAGTGCTCTAACTACCTCTGATGCTATGAATGTACAGTCTTCTAATAGACCATGACTTGAAATAACAGCAGATGCCTGTAGCAATTTTTTCTGTAAAATCTTTACATCAGCTAACTTGTCATCTTTATTTGTGACACAGCAGTATAGACTCTTCTTTTTTTGGGTATTAGTAAATTTATTCCGTAGGCATTTGATATATAAAAATTTAACTAATACTTAACACTGGAATTATAATGGGCGGGGGGCTTATTCAGTTAGTTAATACTGCAAATTTACATTTAATAGGGTATTTCTTATTTGATTATTTTAAGACATTAGGTCAACTGTAAAAAGATCCACTACATGCTGTTTGTTTTTAATTTATTACCTAGTCTGAGTTTTTTCTGACACTACAGCTGCATAATGACTACAGAGAAAATGTACACTGAACAGTTTCAATGTTATTTAAAAGGGCTTTACCAGTGTACATTTAAAAATACACTGTTCTTACTGTTAGAACCAAAATGTGGTTTGTTTTTTGTTGTTTTGTTTTGTTTTTTTTTTATGGCATAAATAAGAATGGTGCTCCTAAATGCAAAGTGTCCAAAACAATGGAATCTGTGTGAGTGCTATGCATTCAACTTATTTTTAAAAATAAAACTAGTTTTGAGTAAGAAGGTTCCAGTGTGCATTATGCTTGTGTGTGTGTGTGTGTGGTAGTTTTTAAATATGTAAACCGACCCTCATCTGTCCTTTACCATCCCGGTGTATGGGCTGAAGATGTAAGGACTTTCATCTTCCTCTTCCTTCCCCCCCCCATCTGTGACACTATAATAAGCTTCAGAAATAATTTAATTTAACAATTAAAGGAAAAAAAAAAAAAAGGACAGAAATCATGGAGGAAGGGGCTTTAAAACTAATTGCACTCACAGCATATGCTGAACATTGTACATTTCAACAATGTAGCTAGTGCACAGCTGTAACAAAGAAATCAAGAACAAAAAGAAGTGTAGTAGCTGAAGACAAGGGGGCTGAATTGATCTGTTCTCATAAAAAAAAAGTGATACTGGCAATGTCATACTTCTAATACTAGAAATCACATAGGAGAAGATGTGGGAATTGCCTTTTGGCAGGACCTACACATGCTTAGGTTATTTACAACAGCTGTGAAGGCTCGGTCATGCTGAAGGTAGCATAAAAGCATGTGATGCATCCTAGCAGAAATATTTTTGGATACTTACAATTTCTGATAAGTGCTCCTTACTAAAAGAAATTCTAGTTTTTCTTAATAATGTGCACATTTCACATCTGTAACAAGGCTACATCATTATGGCTAGAGCTCCGAAAATTAAATAGGTAGTACAGAATTTAATTCCTCTGAAGTTTGAAAATAAAATTGTGAGGTGTCTGATGGTGAGAACAAACTCTGATTGTGAAAATCCTTCCAGAGGGCCTAGAGACAGGGGGAGAACAAGCTCTACTCTGTCTAAGGAAGACAGGCAGTGCTCCAGTATGATAGTGGCATGCATAGTGCATGGATACTTTATCTGGGAAGTTTTGTCTTCACCATTAGGGCAGCAAAAGTCAAGTCTGTCTAGGCTGTGTCCTTGAAATCCCACATTTTTATAATTTTTTTACTATAATTACAACATAGGAACTGCGCCTGACTTTCATGAGTCTCTCACAACTGCAAACACTGCAAGCTACTTCTCACTTCAATATTTCAGTAGAAGTCTCAACTTCAGATTTTAAATTGTAAGTTTGAGGCTTTTTGTATTCATACATAACAAAGAAAAAGTTTTATCTCTGCTTCCCAGGACCCAGGTTCGTTATCTACATTAAATATGAGGCTACTTACATTCTTCCAGCATTGCAAATGTAGCTTAAAAGATTAAATTGAAAGTTAACATTTTAGTGACTGGCACATCACCAGAAATACAGATTTTTTGCAAATAAAACTGCTGTTAAGACTACATAAGTCAGAAAGTAGTGTAGCATCCTCTTTTAATAATTTATTAGCTCTACATTCTGAACATTCACAGAAACAAGTCTCTTGAGTAGATAAGGCCTTATCTGTCTGAACACAAGTGTCCAGTTAGCCTTACTTGATTACAAGGTTGTCAACAGCAATTTTTTAAAAACACCAAGTAAAGCAGCAATAACAAAATACACATTGTTATTTTGAGTCACCATTGCAATGGTATCTTAGGAGTTACGGCACAAGCACATACATTTTTGAAGTTTACATTACACATTTTGCTCTTTCCCTGTAATTAAATGTTATGTAATAATTTTCTATAACTTCAATAAACAAGACATGCATTCTGACAGAGGAAATCATTTGCTACTAAACATTCAACCCCCCTCTCCCTCTCCCCCCAAAAAAAACCCAACTCATAACTGAATAACTAAAGCGTAACTATGTTGAAAGTTGCTCCAAGTTTTAAAAATTCTCAGTGGAACCAAGGATGTGGGCTTCTGCTGCCAGTCCTACCAAGAGAAGAAGGGAGACTTAAGGAAGACTTACAGGTGTTACAACTGCAGACGTGAGATTCAGTATATAATGTTCAACAATGCAAATCAGTTAAATTATTACCATACCTATGAAATGGTATATACATTCTGAAATTGTTTAGAAATACTAGCTTTTCTTTGAAGATTTGAATTTACTCTCCTGAAACACCAAGATAAAAGATAACTTCCACAGAACAATCCATTAGAGCTCTCTTAAAAGAAAGTGTGCATTTTCCATATTCTGTGAATCACTTAAAAGATCACTCTAAGGCTATTCAGTCTGTAGGAATTTTTTCATGCTAATCAGTCATTAATTATTAGGAGATTTACAGCCATTAGATCGCAAATTTATAGTTCGTTCCACAGATAATATACAGTTAGAATCTTCCTGTAATAACAGAACACAGTGGCTTATTTGTTGTGGTATTGAAAAGATGTGTTAGGGTCTTGCAACCAAAAAGATTAATTTCCTAGTTTTCGTTTCTTACCTAGATAATTGTTTTAGGCCCCTTCCAATTGAAATATGCTAGTCTATTATTCCATAAGAGGTAAGCAACAGTAACTTTGTTTTTAAACATTATAATTTAACTAACAGATACTTATTCATGATTGATCAGAGAAACTAAGTAGACCCACAAAACCACAATAATATTTGGATATGGATGAAAATACACATCAAGAGAAAATTCTTTGTTGGGAATTTCTGAAAAATGAGTGCCAGTTTGATCTACAGTCTCAGTTACTAACTGCAAATGCATGTATGGCATCTGGATATGGTATCTGATAACAGGGAAAAAAACATTACAGCTGTAACTGCAACCTGGAAGGATTATTTAAGAGAAACAAAATTGTTACATAGCTTTATCAATGAACATTCTCTAGTTAAAATCTTTTCATATATAAAACATGCTCTACTGTATGTGCAATGCTTGTAGTTCAAAGGAAGCATTTTACAATTACCTTTTATGGACTCAATCAGTTTATCTGGTAACCAAGCTCTTGTAAATAACTATTTCCTCCTTTAACACTTTTCTTCTATGCATCTTCAGGTATCTAGATATCTTTATCATATTTAAGAAAACAAAGAAACATATGTAAAGCGTTACTTAGACATTTTCAGAAAATTAAAACAGACAATTAAAGTAACTGAAAATTATTGTATGTGTATTGACACATTGGCACAGTTACACTACAGATGTTCCAATACTTGACCCCATCAGACCGGGTACTTTTAAGACTTACCCTCCTTTCAGTTTGACCTACAGGTTTATTAATGGGACTCCAGAGCAAAAGAGAAGTGCAGATGGTGAATCTGCCTGTTGTCAGCACAAAGTTGTGAAAAATTTTGCCAAATGGTATTCTGCTTTACCCTTTTCTACAGAGATCTATTATATGTGTATTTGCCTTCCAACCACCTATCAACTATGCTACTTAGAGAAGAGTTTCCTAGTTGGTTTGTTTGTTTTTAAAATACTGACACTAGTAATGTTTTGCTAAGTGTTGCAATATGTTTAGATGAACAGATTTTGCAGGATGGTAAGTGGCACTCCAGATGGCATTGCTGCATATCTCCAGAGATGGAGAAATTCTTCAGAAATGCCACAGAGACTGAGTTTCCAGGGAAAGTGCCGTTATTTTGGAAAGCAGTTCTATGCTTCTGGCCTTGCATATCTCAGTGCTCACATCTTATCTTGGTGCTTGTTCACTGTGGCACAATAAGGACAATCTCCAAGGGCTTGGATATTCCATACCCTTCTACCAGAGATTATGAATACCCAGAAGACTATCTTCATTGACAGATGAAGGAGTGGGTGTGTAGCCATGCATCCAAAAAACTGTTGAATGCCAGATGTGAAAACAGGATAAGATCCTACTGGGAAACAGGTTCTCTACTAGTAGAAAAATCCCTATCAGACTTCTATACCTGGGTTCAGATTATGTGCTCTAAACGGATCCTCCTTCAACACAGAGATGGTTGTAAATCTGGTTTGAGTATTTCTTGTAAAGTCTCCGAAGACTTAGGATAAATAGCTGTTAAAAAGGTAGCAAGCATGTAGCACTACACCCAGGAGAAACCACAAAGGCTAAAATACATCAAGATTTTTTTTCTACTTCCTTGATCAACTAGATTGTGAGAGCACAAAAGTAGCATGGAAGCACTTTCATCACCACTTTCTCTTCGAGAATGCTTCCTGGTTTGTTTGTTTCCATAAGACATTCCCTGTTTATATATTCCTGTTTATACTTATGTTAGTACATGCATTGGTTTATATTTAGCAGGAAACCATTCTATCTCCCTGTTGATTTAATTCTACATTCTTATACTCTCATCATTGACAAAGCAGACAACATTCTGGAGGGGATAAAAACATATGGGACTGCTTGTAACACACTCCTTTGCAATACAGCCCCATTAAGAGATTTCAAAAGAGTTAATACAAATGCCATTTTTCCCCCTATACCAACACAAAATAAGTAACAGCAATGATGTACACTTTCAGTGGAAAAGAAAGTAAAAAGGCTTTCTTACATACTTGCAGTAAGACTATAAAACATAGATTTACAGCAATGCTTTCTTCTGCAACCTTTTACAGATTGTTCTCTTTCCTTTGAAAAAGGTGCAGGACAACTCTGATTAGATCAAAGTCTTTCAATATGTCAAAATAATAATTACAGCTGTCTCATAAATACTACTGTATGGTGAAAAAACAGGACTAAAGGCATCAACTTCCATAAGTATTCAATTGTACCTCACATATTACTACAGTGACTAGACTGACAAACCGGAAAAAAAATGGTATTGCTTAAAGAGGTATTATCTAAAAGAGCAAAGAGCAGAGGGGTGCAAAGTCATAGGACAGACTGGATAAAACTAGTGTTCTTGTTCATCATGCTTTCTAAAAAAAAACAAAACAAAACAAAAAAACAAACAAAAAAAACCAAAACAAAAAAAAAAAAACAAACCAAAACCAAGAAACATTTAGTGGAACTGAAAGACAATGTATTTAAATACAAAATTAATTAGAACAAATTATCACAGTTTCCAATGAGGCCAAGACCTTAGCAGGATTTTCAAGAGATTAAGCATTTATGTAACTCATTAAATCATTCAGAATTTAAGTCAAATACTAATGGAGAGAATGAAGAAATATCTCTTAATGCAAATTAGCCAATAAGCATCTGTGACAGATTTCTTACACCTTCCACTTAGATCTGGCTAAATGCAGAAGACAGAGGACTTTCCTAGACTCGATACTGTAAAGCAGTTACTTTTCAATAAATCTTTGTAGTATAATAGACGTATATTTGATTCTGCTAAGCATTTCATATGCTGTATGCTTTTCTTAGGCACAGAAGAAAAATGTGCAAACATTTATTGAAGACGTGCTTCTAAAATAGACATTCCAAAAGCACCCATGCATTTTTCCCCACAAATACAAAAAATCTTTACACGACAGTACTGCATGTTATTCTCATTTCCCACAGCCAAACTAATGCAATGCTATATGCAAAAGTATAAGGAATAAACTGTTTACCAGAAATTCTGTCCCCTCTCTGTAATACTGTTTCTCTCCTAGGTACAAAAAATTTGTGTATTTTTAAGAGAAGCCCTTTCCTCCTCTGCCCTACATACTTCCTCTAGAGCCCTCTGATGAAAGAGTTGCCAGAGTTTGCATAACTCAGCCTGAAAACTCTCCTGGAACTGTATTATTATATGGTTATTTCCATACGCAGGTTTGCCTATCATTGCAAATCACATATTTGCTAGTCTGTATTTAGCTAGCAATTAAAGATTTTACTTTTTTTTTAATCCCTGTAAAGCATATAATTATTCTGCAAGAATTTAAATGAACTGATAACAGATTGTTTCAATAATCTCCATTTATTATTTATTATGCAATTTTTACTTCTGATGTCCCCTAAATATCATCATCATTTTCATCCAATGTGTTTGATCCATAAGGTATTAAATATACAAGTCAAGAAAGAAGGAACTACAAAAATTATAATACATGTAAACAGAGTATGCACATAAATAATAGTGAATAACCACAATCCACATTATTTTAAAACCATCTATAGGAATATTATGACAAATATTACACTCTACTGGATTAGTTTCCATAGCCACTACCAACAATTTATCAATTACAGTGTTAAACTGTGAGTCAAAAACTAAGTTCACAAGTTCTGGTTTTTTTACTAGATGCTAAAAAATAAACTCATACTACTTGAGTTAGGATAAACATCCAATAGCTCTTGTGGCAGATTCAGCACCTTTAATACAGTTCATTACTAAAACTCTTCTTCCTTTATTGTTAAAGCCACAAGTCATTATTTCTTCTGTTTGTAAACTGTGCTTTACATTTCTTTTAAAAACACATGCTCTTTGAAGAACTGATTCCTTTTAGTATCTTATAAACTAGAACATACATATTACTTTGATATGTAACTTCAAAGCCTAACTACAGAGGCCAGTCATGTAGGTAAACAGTATTGTGTGCTCCAAGGCATTCATCCATCTGATTTTGCAATTCTTAATGAATAAACATATCTACTAAGCTAATATTAAATTTAAATTACTTTGAAGTATTTTCAGTGAATGATAGTTGAGATTTGATTGTTGAAACAAAGGTTAAAATTAGTATTATCTTTACAGTTCTGTCCATCACACATTTCTGTAGGAAATAACTATCTTATTCAAGATGTATTGAAGTAAAACTTCACAGGAAATGTACTACAGTTATGTATTTTTGCTCACAGGTCTATATTACATAAAATCACTTTAATACAGTGTAAGACATGGAATTTAAGGTATTAAATCCATTTGATTCAAGTTACATGAAACAAAAGGAAATAATAAATGTTTGTATCTTCCTCAAAGGATTCTACTCACTAAGTTCTGGAAAAGGACACCAACTCTTGGAGGTAAGAACAGTAGTGGGCTTCTCCCAGGAGGACACATCCTGTGACAAATTCTACTGCGAAACAGACTTTTACTAGTCTTCTAGTCTCAGAGAAGTAGAAATCTTGGAATGATGCACTTAGATTTTAATGTTTAAGGAACTTGTAAAATTAAATTGATTTGGCAATGTTAGGTTTATGGTTGGACTTGATAATGTCAAGGAGCTTTTCCAACCTAAATGATTCTATTCTATACTGTTAAGACTTCCAGTATTCTGCAATTCACTTTTCATGATCCTATTCAAATTGATAAAGGTAATTTAAATAAAAGGAATCTGTAAAACAGCTGATTAAAAAATTTATTGAAAGTAGCTATATTCTAAATATCCCTTAATTCACTCTTTTCTCCCAAACTTCCTACTGTGTATGTTCTTATGATAGATATCAACTGTGGCTGAATGCAAAGTCTGGAGCTCAAATAGAATAATCCAAATATTGTGACTGAACTTTCTATTCTTCTCTGAACTCTTTGTGTTGCTCAGATAAGCTTAATTTCAGTTCCTCCTTCAGACCTTCTTGCTCTCCTCATCATGAGGGAAACATGCCCCCACCTTTCACTGTAGTCACAAATCAGACAAAAATGCTTCCTTAAAAGGTTTTGGAAAAAGTCTACTTTGGAGTCATGGTAGCAAAGTTGGAAACTGTCTTCACATGATCTCTAAGACATACAGAGACACAAAGAGTACTCACAAAACAGTAACACCCACTGCATTTGTTGTTATAATATGTACTACTGGACACTGTATAATATCATTGCTCTAAAAATTAAAAAATCTTATCACCTTGCTTTAATAACAACCAAACTCCTACAGAGTTTTGTGAATATCACAGGAATATTTTATATTTAATTTTGCATTGCTTTCCGTTTCTCCAGAGTTGCTGAGAACAGAATTGTAACTGATCCAAGCCAGTTCTTTCTCATATGAGTGGCCATTGCAATGCTTAATGACATGGCCTATCAAAATGCAAAAAAGATATAAATGAGAACACAAAGCTAAAAACTACTTTTTGGCAGACTGAACAAACAACAACTAGCAGTGCTTCGGGTATAGATACCAGAACTGTTCCTTGTATGCTAGTTTGGATCTAGCTGGTTTTCTTAGCTCAAGATGCATCACAGTGTTGATGCAGTCATATAATTTCCAAAGTCCATGGAAGTCAGATAAATAATCTTAATGCAGCATTGCACTTTGAACTAATAAATGCTGCTGGATTCAAGACGGTGCTGTGCATATCAAAGACTCGAGCGTCCTCAGCTCAGAGTTCACCTTTCAAACTGATACAAAAATTACCTCTAGAAAAACAACCTCTCAGAAGAGCAAAATAACTATCCCAAATTATAGCTGCACTATCCTAGAGGAACACATGTACCAGATGAAGGATTCTTAGTGTTGTGAACACTTTCTCATTTCACCAGCTCTCAGTCTTCCCTGAGCATCACAGAAAGAGAAGTCATCTACTTTGCATCAAAGCATCTCAGAAGTTCCCTCTAATGGTAGATTTAGAATTAACTGGAGAACAGTAATATAGCAACTTAGGAAAAGGTTGTTATCAAGACAGAAGTCTTGACAAGGGGTCTAGAGCTCAAAGAAGAGAAAGATCTCAAAACTTTAAAATATTATAGAAGCAGAGATGTCAGGTTCTGGTTACACAGGTAAAGCAACATTTTTTTTCATTAACATACTACTGGTTTTCTGACACCTACTTATACCTTTTAGCTCTCTCTTTTACCTGGCAGTTTGCTCATAGGATATTCAATAGATGAGTAGGCAACTCATCTAGCTGCTTCTTCTAGCATCTGCACATGCAATTATACATTTCTTTGAAATCACTAGAATTTTAAAAATCTTTAAGTAAGCATCCAATGAATAGCTATGTGCACAGCTGTCATTGACAGTGCAGCACATATATTGATACATATGCTTACAAGAAAGGTCTAAAATAATTTTTTAATTACTATAATGATAGTAACTGGAAGTATTTACTCAGGAAATTATTTTTCAAAAGGTCACCATGCTACAGAAGGTTTGAGAATTGAGATAGCAGATACCTCATATTATCAATATATTTTATGTCAATAGTTTATACCTCACTATCAATATTTGCATCAGTTGTTTATACCAATCATATCACTTTGGCTTTAGTTCCATTTAAGTTCACTGTATGACTTGGGAATCCACACAATTTTTTTTCCCTCACCCTAAGGACAACAAGAAAGAAAAATATAAACACTGACAAGAAAGTCTACAGAAAATCTCCATAAAAATGGACCTTAAAATCTATTAACTGCCACAATACAACCATCCTCTGTATGAAAGAGTTTAAGATCCAAGAATTTAATTGCTAATCTCGGCATAAAGACAGAGCACTATGAAAATATTTATTACCAAAAAACAAATATCCCTAATTTATGAATGTAATGAATGGGAGAGCTTCAGAAAGAGTTGCTAGAAAAATTTACAAGAAAACTTGCATTCTAGAGACATACTGAAGTCAATTTAACATTATAAATATGGAGAGTGTTACCAACAGCCTACCAGTGTCTGCACAACAAGAACGTATCTAGTATGGGGTCCAAAACTAGCAGATACAGCCACACCAAAAAACAATTCCAGAAAGTTGAATCTTGATAAATTTAAACTGGATGTACCTGACAGAAATAAAACATTGTGAATAAGTAATTAGGACAAGTCTTTTAAGGGTGTGAGAGATATTCCATCACGATATCCAATTCTTAAAATGACTAACTGAAGGAGGATCTATAAGATTTTTTAATGAAGGAAAAGACAGAACTTCGTATCAGTTGGCTTGCTGAAGAAAGTCAACCCAGAATTTCAACGGAAAAAAAAAAAGTCAGGTTTCTTGGGAAATTTCTAACTGTGGCTGAAAAGTTCAGAACTTTAGAGAACACAGAAATTTTCCAAACACAGAAATATTGAAATGGAATAATGTCCATACTTCTTTAGTGTCACTGCTTTTGATGACTCTTGCTCTGCCTCAGAGCTTCATCTCTCACGATAAATCGTGGCAGCTCATTGTCAGGTCTCACAATGTTTCAAGGGATATATAGTCCCATCCATAAAGAATGTGTGCAAAGTCTTCCACAAAAATCAGCATGCTACATGCAGTATCTAACCAAAATGTTAGTCTCCAACTACATTTTAAAGTGCTTACCCAGAGCTTCACTTTGAGGACACTGAGTTGAGGGGAAAATAGTTTATTTTGTTAAAATATCATAGTATCTAGCCCTAATACGAGTAAAATTTTGCACGATGTAATAAACTAATATATCTAATACGCTTCTAATTACAGTTAATCCAAATGTGTTGAAAGTAGGAAATAAAGGAGGTAGCATACATAGATATGAATCAACACCTAAGTTGATAATGAACTAAATTCTCTTCTACATAAACATACACAGAAACAGGAAAGCTGGATTCAGAAAATACTTAACAAGTCAGACATTGAAGTTAATACAATTTGTCACATATAAGTCAAAACAAAGACTGTATCTGAAATATTAAATTCCTGAAATACTGTATGTGGTATCTCCCTATAGAGGTACTTGAAAATAGCAGAAGTTTAACTATCAGAGGTTGTAAATTACAACAGCTGGAAGCACTTACACTTTTCAATATGTTCTTCAGTAACAAAGTTAAATTCTTCTTGCAGCTGTTCAAGACAAAATTATTTCAGAATGGTTTGTTCCTTGGATCCTGCATGCTGTGAGAGAATGCAAGAGCAAGGCTGAAGGATTTTACAAATTATTTCAAAATAGCTTCTTTTTTAAATTAACCTTTACAGCCTTTACACAAATATTCTCAAGACTTCTGGTAATACATCCTTCTGACTAGCACCACTAGCATAAATATAAAGAATACATTAATACTTGTTCGACATCCTTTGTTGTACTTTAAAATGCACATAAATATTTATTCTACATCACAAAAATCATCCAAGAAGTGACCAACTGCCCTTTTCTAATGAGTAGTACTGTAAATTAAAGATGTTTCTTGCAAAATAATTTAATTTTTCTCTTGTCACTGGATTATCTGGTACCTACTATCCCCATTAGAGTTACTAGATGCACCAGATGTATTGAGCACAAGTAGATGAACCATACAGGACACGCAGCATAAATCCAACACATTGCCTGCACCTCAGAATTACAGCACGTTTTCTCTAGAGTTAATCTGCGTACATGCAATAAACCTAATGCGTCCAGAACATCCCAGAGTTAGTGAGCATGCACGTGACATCTGAGCATCCTGGAAAGGACAGGACCTTTATCCCAGACTCAGAAGTGACCTTTATATAACTGCAGCAAAAGATACAGCTTTCTCAACTTGGTTTTATTATTCTGGTACAAATCCTAATCTCAGGCAACAGTTCTGCACTGGGATTTTAAATAACTATGGTAACTACTTAAATTTGTTCCCATGCTTTGCTTTTATATATTAAACTTGTTAAAAAATATGATTAGCCTTAACTCAGCCCCTGTTATTTGTAATCTTGAAGCAAAAGAACTTGCATTAAAAATATTAATAGTATCTATAAGTACCTTGTCTTCTAACATGGTACAGGCAATATGTATTTTCTTCTAGAAAACATGTAAAAACACACTATCAAAATCTGCTAAATATTACCATAATCAATTCCATCATACATAAATACTCAGGATATCTGGGATCAAGCTCAACTGCTTTGCCCCTTTCAGTCAGTTTATGTGTTACTGAGACATCAAATTCCAGCAGCTATTTCTCCATTTATATTTCTCAGCACATTAAAATAAAATCACCTACTATTAACTGCTCAACATTTAAAGGAACAAATGTTTATTGCATCAGAAATTTCTTAGAGTGTATCATTTTTAGAACACATTTACAATTCTGACAGATTAATCAGGTTATCTGATTTAATATTATAGCTATTAAAAAAAAATCAAATAGGAAGCACTAAGAAACCCTAAACTATCATACAAACATTTCCCACAGTTCTGCACATGAAATCCTAACAGATGAGAATCCCGATTAAAATATACAATTCATTACCACCTGCACCAAGCAGAATTTATCAGCTGAGAAACAGGTGCTACAGGAAAGCACTTCCTCCATCAGTTGCCCATGATAAAGCAAACATGAGTTTGCCTCACATCAAAGCATGTAGTTTCTCTTCTTCATCTAGAAAGGTACAATTAAGTCAAAATTTGTTGATAGAAGAGAAAAAGCCATTCGATAAAATTGTGCGTGCAAATGTATTTTTAAATATATTTGAAAGGTCACTCTTCATCACTCCAAATGAAGCTAAACTTCCACTTAATTTTAATTGACCATAGCAACTACATGGCTTTCAAACAAAATTTACACTTGTGCTCACAGGCATAGCACCTCACCTGCATTTTAACATCTGAATGGCTGATTAGCACATGCTTAAGTATTTTCCTAAAAGAGGATGCTTTCTTGAACTTAGGGTTAATGGAGGGGAAAAAAACCTCAATTCTCTAAAACCTCCAAAACACATACAATTCACAAACAAATACTTAACAAGAACAGGTAGAGGTCAGTATTGGCAGCCTGTTAGATCAGAAAGAATATTTTTTTTTTGTGGAAAAAAGACATACCCCTTGGTGTCTCCTTTCGAGATAGAGTGGTGTTCAGAACTCAACCCAGACTTCATCTGCTTATTTTAAGCTATTGCCTGCTGTAGCTGTAACAAAACTTACTACAGAAGTGGTACAGTCATGGACCACTGGGCTTGGATACTTGGACCATGGGCTTGGGCGCTTCTACTAAGCATGTTACTTTCGTTTGAAAAATTTACTTTAAAAATTTAAGAAAGAAAAATTTAGTAATCTCCACAATCCTTACAGGTCTCCATAAGAATCCACAGGGGAAAAAGCAGAGCCTTAACAGCCACGGACTACTACAGAACTCTATGAGGCAAGGGAAATTACTGAAATTGGACTGAAATCTGAAACAACTTCTCGTAGATGGAAGCTTTCATAAAAACACTGTGCTGCAGGAGATCCCTGGGTCATTAAGTCCAACACCTTATTATCATAAGCAAACATGTCATATAAACTCTTTCATCAAATTGGTCTGAAACTTTGGTCTTACAAGGTTTAAAGCTTGCAAGTCATTTTTGTGAACTTAAACATATTCATGAACACTTGTTCTTATACCAATGCTGTCTTTTAATTTAACTCAGTCTTTCCTCTTCTGGGTTTCTCTTCCTGCTCCACTTAAATAAAGCAACTACAGAAGAGCTGCATAGCTATTCCCCCATCACATGTCTAGGAGCATGTGCCTCAATAAACAATGCTAAAGATGGGAAGGGGAAGTTGCAGCCACCTCAATCTCCTCAGTAAATCCCTCTCTGACTAAAACTGTTCCCAGATCTTAGTTTCTGCTCAGAAAAGTTGTCTGTTCTCACAACCAGCAATTCCCAGCATTCTGGTGCACCAGTTCTGCTCTGTGCTCATCTTTCTTGAACACACAGAGCTGGAATTGTACACATTATTCCAGAGGGGTTCTCAAATGGTGTCTCTTATAATGGAGAGAAAAGAGGAAACAGGAGGAAAAAACCAAAACCAAACACCTCATCTACCCCTGTTACAATTTAAGAAACTCAGTGAAGAAAAATCCTCTATGGCCTGAACATGGTTCAGTTCAGAAGTTTATAGGAAGTAAATCAAAGAAGGCTACACACATCTTAGAAATTAATCCATCAAGTCTTTCCAGGCTACAAAGCAATCCAAAACTGACATGATTTGCAGCAAACTGAAGAGGGAAGACATATGGAAAATTACAAATAGTCAAGTTCCTGGCTTCAAAGGTAACAACACAATTCCATTGGATTCTTACAAAAGTGTAGCCTATTAAATTGGGTTTCAGCATGATCTTTAAAAAGATAAAATCACCTGTTAAATACTAAGGTGGAGAACATTTATGGAATTCTATACTGCAAAGGATATTGCTTTCAGTACTGGGGCTATAAATTTCAAAATTAGCTTAATAGGCCTATCTAAGCTGCAGATCATATCTTTAAATTACAATGTAAGCAAACAGAATGAATTTGCACAACATGCCTATTAGTAACATAATACCTCCTATGTCTCAATTTGTAGGTTGAACTTGCAGATCACAGCTAAACTCTGTCTGTTTCAATACATCTTGGCTTTTAACATCATTACTGGTAAGGGCTAAGAATTTTGGTCCACCTTGTCTGGTGACAATTTTCATAGCATCTGAGCACTTCACAACTTTACATGTGTTTATTCCAGCAATACCTCATAAATTAATGAAGTACCACTAAGCCATTTCAGTAGAAAAGAGCAGAAGGATGTACCACTAACAGCATTATCCACTTTTACTCTGGCATTACAGTTATTTGACCTCTAAATTATTCTCAGAGTCACTGTCCAGAGCACAGTTATATTTTATAGATATACACACCCCCATTTTTTAAGCATTAATGACTTTTTAATGGTTGCAAATGCACATTTTCATAACTGAGTCGTGAAAAGATCTGTACCATTATGTATGAGTGCCATTATTCAACAGCGTATTTTTCTCAGCAGTGATTTTAGATCACTTTAGATGACTGAGGAAAAAAATACTGAAATTTCAGATTATTGAAAAATAATCAGGTTTATTATTGATTACACTAAGAGTGCTTCTGTGTGATAACAACATATCCATTTAGTCACAGTTACTTTAAGGTCTAATTTTTATCCAAATCTTAATACATTTCATGTATGATTACTGATCCTGTACATCTGTTATGAACTATTATCTGATACTAACACATTAGTATTCTTAAAATATATTTAATTAAATTTATCAATGAGGTTTGTAATTTAAGTGATTTTTACCCGATCTATATCAGTTGAACTAATCACAGTCCTGTCATTCAGTTATTGATAGAATCTCTTACGTTTTCAATCCTTGTTGAGGGTTTATGTCGGCCTCCCTACAAACCATAATATTTCTCTGAACCTTCAAGAGAGTTATATCACAATCACGCATGGCAGAGATATTCACAAAGTAAGTTATATAACAGTATCTTAAGATTCAGTTCAATTTGGTACCCAAATGCTAAGTATCTCATGGATATCAGATTTCACTTTCAAAACTAACTTTAAGGAAGATACTGATGTGCTAGAGACTTGCTTTCCATTTTAATATATTTTTATAAAATACTTGTAGCTTCTGAACTTTGTTTCTTTTCCTCTGTTCACATCTTTTCTTGTAGATAACAATGGGCAGAACAAACCAAGTACGAGAAAGTACAGGAATGCTTTGCCATGATACTTCTTTTTGCCCACAAATTTCTGTAGAATCACAGAATCAAAATCATGTAAACCACACACTTTAGGATGATTCTGGAATGGATCCAAACATTCCTTTTGCTATTCATTCATCATTTGATGGACAAATTAACCCCTTTAATAATACAAGTTATAGTTTAAACTTCCATAGGGATTTACTTCCTTTTCATTAAACAATTACATGATACCATACACTGACTGCAAAGAATATCTAAAATGGCATTTTTCTAAATTACTTGTTAATTTTATAAAGATTCTCTGGTCTGTAACATGTGATACAAAAAGTACACATTAACTCAAGAATAAATTCTGCTCTGAAGGATCTTGGACTACCCAAGAACCATTAATATTAGAGGATTACTTTGTATACTACCACAACTTAATTCCAGATGAT